TATTGAGATGATAATTGAGAATGGATAATTTATAATTGAAATGATAACTGCTAAAACTGAAACTGAAATGATAACTGATAACTAAAATGATAACTGATAACTGAACAGAACATAGGAAGTAAGGATATGAATACTCCCTCTTCTGAGTGATGAACAACCTATTTATGTGAATAAACTACGTCCTCAGGCCCAATATATATGTCCACAAGTACGGCCTCAGGCCTAAGTATACGTATACATAACTACGGTCTCAGGCACAAATACAGGTGTTCAACATTCAAGGATTTAAATTCAGGAATTGAGAATCATACTGTAATATGTGATGCTGAAATACTGAATCATATTGAGTTACATGATACTGGAATATTGAATAGGACTAGAATGAGACATGGATTCTTGAACTGATTATGAAAACTGAAACTTCAATTGTTTATGACATGTTGAGAAATCTAGAGTGCGACTCATGGTCATCAAACCCAAGTCTATATTGATTGATTATGTACTGAGCTCACAACGTTCAGAATGAAAGTCATGAAGCTAGATACTAGAAGTTCTGCAACTATTCAAGGAACTAGGCTTAACTATATTTCTGAGGCAATTAGTAATGTCGCAAAAGAAAACTAGTGTAGGGAGAATCATTAACATTCCCAAAACATAGAGAGTAAGCCTCACATACCTTAACTTCCTGTTCTTGAGCGTAATACAACATTCGCCAACCCTTTCAGCTTTAATCTATATCAATACAAGTCAAAGGGATTCCATATTAGCAGTAATACTCGTGTTTTGGCCACTTAGGCCTTTTATCAAACACTTGGTAGGCATAAAGCTTCATAGTCCTTATTAATGGTATTTCTACACCCAACAACCCATTCTTTTGCTCCTAGATAATACTAAAACCTCAAATTGTTATAATCAATACCATTCTTCATCTCCCATAAGATAAACAGCACCCTTAACCAATAATCAACAATCAACAACCCAAGCCTATAACCGTTCATGCTTTTCTATCAAACCCATCAACTCATATCTCATGAACTAGAGTCTATAATCATTAATCCAATGTTATAATCAATTAGATAGTGAAGATATTACCTTTTTGAAGTTCAATGCAGTTGAATTCAAGTTCTAGGGTTTCTTCTCTCAACAATGATGTCCCAATCGAATATCTAATGATATGGAGGTTTTACCCATGTTAATAAGGTGTTGGAAAATTGAAATTAACTTGAATTCACCATTAAAACTTACCTTGGATGGTGGAGGGACCTTTCAGGAGTTAGGTTCTTGAGAGCTTCCCTTTCTAGAGCAAGTTTTTGTGTTTTGGGGTGTGGGGACGAAGTAGAGCTTTAAAAATGACCCCCGAGTGCACCCCCGCACACCTGAAGGCCCGACCGTGCACCTGAACGCGCACCTGAACGCGCAAAATGTCAGTAGCACTGCCACAAGTGCACGGCCGCGCATGGAGCATTCGGGCGCGCACCTGGGCGCGTATATTGCGCACTGCTCTATAAAACGCACATAACATTTTGCACAGAGATCTGTTAGGACTCTACAATATATCATTGGAAAGCTATTTCAAAGGGCTACAACTTTTATATTTTGAGTTTTCTCAAATTCCTTACACATTTTCACTACATCCTGCTGCAAGACAGATCTATTGTAAACTCAATCGATTTTATCGAATCTTATGCACCTCACTCTCCGTCTTGATTCTAGAACAACTAGTTTCACCCATACTCATCCCCCTAAGAATTCATATGTCTAAAATATCAAATTAATACCCATTTAACATATTCATACCTAGTCCGAATGTACAAGGTGTAACATCATGGAACTTCTGTGAGTGTCAAATGTATATAATCAAATGAGTTGTTGCCTAATACAACAAAAAGAAAGCAAAATAAAAGCATTAGACTTGTAACGGTTCAAGACCCATTGCCGAGATATTGTCTTCACCCTTTGGCCCCTCATATTTTTTGTCTTCTTATGCTTAATCCAAAAGGCGTTTCCACAATTGACTCCTGAGCTCGCCCTTATATGTCCCCGGACTTTTCCTCTCATTTCGACGTAGGCTTTGCCTAAAGCAAGTTTCAAAGCGAACCCACTTTCGAGTTCAACCACCAACAATCCACAGATTATTACTTTGCCTTTAAGGACTCAACGTCTTTGCTGAAACTTGCCTCACAATTGTTTAATAGAGATACCAACTCTGGTATTCCTATAATGCACCAGGTCAAACTGTCAAAATGTCGTCCATTTTGGCCTAACCTTTAAGGTCTCACGACTTTATCTTTTTGAGCTTTAATCCAAAAATTTCCTCAATAGTTAAATTCAAGAGCCCACTTTTATAGCCCCTAAATTTTCCCTCTAATTGCGATATAAGATATGCCTTAGTGAGCTTTACATCAAACACCCTTTCTAGTACAACTGTTGAGGATTTGTAGGGTATTACACTCACCCTCCCCTAGGACTTCAACTTTGGATTGCCCCATTTTCATACTAGGTGTTAGACTCCTAGACAAGTTGATAGAAAAGTGATACGAGTTTGGCATGGGTGTTAGCGTATTACTCTGCCATAGGCTTTAACGGGTGCGAAAGCAACATGCACAAGTTGGAACTTGACAATGAGACTGTTGTCGCGGGCAACAAGACTATTGCTAGGTTGAGGTGACACCAAGGCACAAAGGAAAAATGGGCAAGTGACTTCCAAGGTCTTAGAATAAGGCAAGGCAACTTGACAAACGAAATAGGCTCACAGTGGCGCAATAGCATGGCATTGGCACCCGAACATCGACGTACATCAAAAGGCATCAAGGCACAATGCATTAGTTCTAAGGCATGGCAAACGACTGATAACTAATACAAGAAAAGGTAGTCAACACTTGTGCTAGGCAAACATTGACATGAGCATGTGCCATGGCAAATGAGCATGTGCATAAGTTTGAGGCTAAGTCAAAAAGCAGCAGAAATGCACTTAGATGCAAGTGATTAGGCCCTTCGCATGCACATGGTAACAAGCTTCAGTATGCCAAACACATTGGCGGTTACTAGACATGAATTGCGCACATGACAAGCAATTGTGAGGTTAACCTTATCTGGATCAGTTTCATGGCTATGTTTTGGGCTAAAATATTTGAATAACAATTTACACACAAAGTGTTATTGGAAAAACAATCATTTACATAAAGAAAATAACAATAATAGCTGTAGTAGGAGTAGAGTTTTAGGTTTAGCGAAATTGGTGGTAGGTATGGAAGAATTTTTTTAAAATAATACGTGAATGAAAAGAAAGAAGAAAAAATAGTAAAAATCATAAATTTATTATATTTCTGATATGGTATTGACGTGACATGCACAAGTGGAGCACCTAATGTTAGACCCTTGACAAAGCTGATCAGCAAGCGGCGCGGCAGTGGCAAGGATTTTGGCATGATGGCCTTGCCATTGGCCCATGTGCGGGGGAAATCAACATGCAAGACAATGCGGGTATTGTCAATGGCAACAAACTGTTGCAAGGGCAAGTGTGACGGACTACGCTTCTATTTGAGGGCTAAGGTGTGACGGACTACACTAAAATATGAGTGGGCTGCGTACAAGCAAGGGCCAAGACCTTGACGGAACTAGGCGGGCTGGACGGAAGCTTGACAAGGCAAAACGGGAAAGACCTCGGTGCTAAAATGGGGCAGCTTAGTGCCAAGGCATTGGCATTGGCAATATGATGTTGCCATGACTTAGGTGAGCGGGCTGGCACCTAAGTAAATTGTGGGCAAACGACTTAGCAACGGGAATGGCATCATGGCTTGGTGACTTGATGCCAAAATTAGCTTGGCATTGGCAAAGGGCAGACTTGATCAAGTAGGGGCGACTTGACAAGAACAAGCAACTGTGGCCGCGGGTGTGTGTACGGCTAAGTCATGGGCGACGAGCTGTGGCGATGGCATTGAGCGGGAGCAGTGTCAAAGGCCAAGGCTGGGCGCAAAGCCAGCCTTGGGCGTGCAGCAGCTGGCTAAGAAACGCGCACATGCAGCGCACATGGAGTGGTTTTCAAGTATGCTGTGCACATGCTATGCAGTTGGGCGGTTACAACTGCCATGTCCAAGAGTTGCTGATTATAAGGCTGAGTCTATGCACGTTTTTAGGCATGTTCTAGGTATGGCATGCATGTTTTTGATCATGGGGATCATGTCCTATCAGTTGGGGGATGTCAACTGAAAATAGGAAACAGTTTTGGGCTGACTACACTATATATATGTGTGTTAGCAGCCATAAAAACGGGCTAAGTACCTAGGGGGGGAAAGAGTCTAAGATATAGGCATAGGGTTGTCTATATTAAGGCTCGAGTATGGCAAAATATGTGTCATTGCCTTGCCAAACGAGTGGGCAGCACGAGCAGCCTTAGGCGGGGACTTTTATAGGGCAGATTCGTGCAAGTGTCGACTATTTTTGTGAGTTGGTGCCTGCCAAGGGTGGCAGCACCTTGCCAAACTCGAGAATTTCCTTTGTAATGAATTTATTATAAAAGGTTGGGAAAGGGTTCCCGTAAATCTGTGTGCCTTCGTTTATTTTATGTTGCCTCGAATTTATTCTAAGTGTTAAACCTCGAAAGCGAAAGAAAATCGGGCGAAGGCTGAAGCCAAGTGGGAACTTGACTGCCGCACAGCGGGCAACATTTTCGGCGGACAGAAAACGCCCCTGTGACACCTAATACCATGAAAGTGGTGTTATGTTTTATAAGGTGATGTTAAATTTACTTTGAACAAAAATAAAAAGGTATTAAGACATCCATAATGAAATTAGTTTTTTCACCCGAAGTGTCCCATGCCAAGTTTAGTGGTTATCTACGAAATTGGCCAAAATAATAAAAATACAATAAACTAAATTGCACATACATGTAAGGACCAGATTCACGAGGGGCAGGCAAGCAGGTCATGTAAGTAGATCTACACATGCGGAACGTGTCTACATATAACTGGATCTACAAAAATTGAAGTCAAACACGAGAGTTACTGCCCTCCCTCGTTCTTTCTATCACTACAAGGTGAAGGTTCCTCCAACAATTATTGCCTATCTACTCTCTCGCTGCTTTGACCTCAATCACACTTCTCTGTGTGTGGGATTTCAATTCTGAGGTATCAGATCTTTGCAATTCAGATTTACTTCTGTCTATTAGCATCAGTTTCCCACAATGCCGTCACTTTTCGGAGGTCCTATGACTACTTTTGAGGATTCTGAGAAGGAAAGCGAGTATGGCTACGTCAGAAAGGTATTCTCTTTTTCCTTAGATCTGCAATTGTTTTTTGACTTTGAGATCTAATTTATTCTGTTTAATCGGATGGGAACTGGATATAATTGGATCGGTTTGACTTCACTTTCCTGGTCGATTCATTCAGCCCTAATTTTTCCATTTGTGTTGAGCTTTTCTTTAGATTGCTCCTTGTGTAGAAGCTTTTAGAGTGGATCATCGATTAAACAGCTGGTAACTAAAAGCAACTAAACTTACCCGTGATACCATCTTGCGACTTTGATTTGATTATTGATGTTCTCATTGATCAGTCCAGGGGTGGATGTAGAGTATATATGGGTTCGCTCGAACCCATTAGCTTTGTCCCTTAAGAAATCCACAAAATATGTACAAATATTAAATTCCAAGCCCAGTTATTAGCACTTTAGTTCGCTTTCCTAGAATCCCGAACCCATAAAGTTCAAATCATCTGTTAATCGCTAATTATAATATCTGGGGTTGCCTTTGCTTGTTGCAGATACTTGGTCTTTTCACTGCTTGATTTGTTGATTACTACTCCTCTAATGTGAAAATTACCGCTTCTTATTATTAAGTGTGTATTTACCTTTTCTTTTTTGGCTACAACTTAGATGATTATACTTATCTTTGTTGGTTTGACTCTGATCTATTCACCTAGCACTATTAAGTCTACTCTCCCACTCCACTATGAAAAGGGCTATTGGTAGAACTTATGAGGTTGTCGTTCGTCTTCTGTAACAGGTGTCTGGACCAGTGGTTGTTGCTGATGGAATGGCAGGGGCTGCCATGTATGAACTAGTTCGTGTCGGACATGACAATCTCATTGGTGAAATTATTAGGCTCGAAGGAGATTCTGCTACAATTCAGGGTATATTGCTCTTGAATTTCTTTCTTCCTTGCTTTTGCTTGTTCCTAAGCTTTTTGCAAAAAGGAGATATTGACCAGCTTTTAAAGTACCGTACTTTCACATGATTCAAACTAAAAGCAAGATTTGTTTGTTAAATTGCCTTTCTTGCAGTCTATGAAGAAACAGCTGGTCTGATGGTGAATGATCCTGTGCTACGTACACGCAAGGTCAAAAGAAATTCTTTCTTTGAGCTTCGATTGTTTTCCTTTAAGTGTCAACTAAAATTTCAAAATTCCAAGATTTTCATGTTCTGTTTCAAATAACAGCCCCTGTCAGTAGAGCTGGGTCCTGGAATATTGGGAAACATCTTCGACGGTATTCAGGTTATCATCTGACAATGTCCTTTTCATATTTTAAATTAATTCTTAATTCAAGCGTTGTGAAAACAGAGCCATTTGCATCAACCAATAGAATGGTGCTACATGATTTTTGTATGTTTTCTCCCTCAATAATGCAGAGGCCTCTGAAGACAATTGCAAAAAGGTCTGGTGATGTCTACATCCCTCGAGGTGTATCTGTTCCGGCCTTGGACAAGGATATACTATGGGAATTTCAGCCTAAGAAAATAGGTATATTTGTAGTCTTTTACTATATAACATTTTGGACCTTGAACTTAGAAAAATATTTATTACTCTGCTCACTATCAATATCATGCTGCCAGGTGAGGGAGATCTCTTAACAGGTGGAGATTTGTATGCTGTAAGTGAACTTAACTTCTTTTATGTAAATTTGTGATAACCTTTTCCAAAGCCCTGTTCCAGTATCATTGTTACCTGATGAGTATATGCGTGAATTTTCTTTTGACAGACTGTCTTTGAGAACACCTTAATGGAACATCGTGTTGCTCTTCCTCCTGATGCCATGGGAAAGATTACTTACATTGCTCCAGCTGGTCACTACTCTTTGAATGTATGTCAACAATTTATGCTTCAAAAATCAGTACACATTTGGTGTTACTGTTCTTGTTGGATCATTAAGATTCTATTTGAGATCAACCCATTTTTCTAGTATTGTAGTGCATAGTTGTCTGAAGTAATTTTTTTATAAAGCTATGGTTTGACTGTCTAATAGCTGGTCCAACTTGAATCATTTTGATGGCAATTAGGCACCTCCCTGAGTGTGTGAAATTATGCCACCAATTGGCCTGTACTTACTGTTTGGAAAGGAAAATAGAAAATCTACTCCATTTCCGGAACAGCAAACCTAGATTGCAGTTTAGATGGCTCCAGTAGTAATTCCTTTTCCTTTATTTTTTCCCATTTTAAAGCTTGATATCAAGTGTATGACTTGCTCAACGTACTATTCATGTTACATTGTTTTAATGGTTAAGATTTATAGCTTGTAAGAACATGTAGTTCAGATATTTATTCCTTTGTTAAAAAGAAAGTTATATAATATTTATCAAAGAAAGAAAGACGATAAGATTGCCATAGGACCATCTTTTTCTATATCAGAGGAGATCAAATAAGGAAAAGATAAGATATTGCAAGCAATGCATTGACTATTATATCAGGGGACTTCATTTGTTTTCTCTTCCCACTATGCTTGCAGGATACTGTTCTTGAGCTTGAGTTTCAAGGCGTCAAAAAGCAAGTGACTATGCTTCAGGTTAATGACACTCTAGTTACATGAGTTCCATAGATTGTCTTTTGCTTGTTCGTATCACAGTTTCAGCAGTGGATACTGACACTAACTTGCTCCCATCTCTTTAGACTTGGCCTGTGCGTACTCCTAGGCCTGTTGCATCAAAGTTAGCTGCTGATACTCCTCTTCTTACTGGACAGGTAAATCTTGCTTAGATATTAGGCCTCTTTTGGGGTTTCATGTGAGAATTGTAGACATCTGTGCTTTAGCTTCTCTATTTCATGTCCCCTAAAAGAAAACTGCTCTATTTCATTTCAGCGTGTTCTGGATGCCCTGTTCCCCTCAGTGCTTGGTGGTACTTGTGCCATACCTGGTGCTTTTGGCTGTGGGAAGACAGTGATTAGTCAAGCTCTTTCCAAGGCGAGTGTCATATTTATTCACATTGGATTACCTACTTAATTTCAGTTTCCAAAAATTAGAACTGATCCTTAGGAAGCTTATTCAAGTTATTGTTTCGTTTTAATAATGAATGCAGTACTCTAACTCGGACACTGTCGTGTATGTTGGTTGTGGAGAAAGAGGAAATGAAATGGCAGAGGTATGGAGTTTTTCCACTCTATTTGCGAGCTCTTTCTTATTATATTGAGTCACATAGCAGAAGATCCTTAATTTCAGGTACTTATGGATTTCCCTCAATTGACAATGACACTGCCTGATGGGCGTGAAGAGTCTGTCATGAAACGTACCACACTTGTGGCTAATACTTCAAACATGCCTGTGGCTGCTCGTGAGGCCTCAATCTATACAGGTCGGTACTTGCTTCACTCTCTAATATTCTTACTATGTCAATATTCCTTGGAGAAGGTCCTTGATTCTGCCATTTACAATTGGTCTTATCTCATCATGTAATTTTCCTGTATCATCATAAAAAAGAATGATGCTTGCTGTAAAATGTCTTTCCTCTCTTGCTCTTGATAAAAAAGAATGACAAAATGTCCAGTAGAATAAGTATAATTGCTTAGCTTTAGAATTCTAGCTAACATAATTACTCCGGCACCTGTTTATTATACCAAATAAAAGAGTGTTCCACTTTTTGTTCTTTGTATGTTCATGTTCATGTAGATGTTTTCTGCTGAGTGCTGCTTCCTACGCTTCCGAAATAAAGTATCATCTTATATTCCGTTGATGCCTTTTCTTCTCTAAAAAAAGCAAGCTCTTCTTCATACACCAAGGCGGTTCTTCAGCTTGTGTCTTTATTATTTTCAGGTATTACTATAGCAGAATACTTCAGAGACATGGGTTACAATGTCAGTATGATGGCAGATTCGACATCTCGTTGGGCAGAAGCTTTACGTGAAATCTCAGGTCGATTGGTGAGTATGCCATTCCTTCCATTGCAACAAGTCTGATAACTTCTTCGTTCCTTTAGTTGCAACAGCTAAAATATTCTCCTATTCTCGGCAACTGATGCTTTAAGGTTTCTTTTATCATTTTTTCGCATTGTCAGTACTTGACTCGTTATGTTGCCCACCACATGCACAGACAGACATTGTAAACTAAAATCTGTGTGAAATCCAAATCTTAGTAAAATCATTGTGGCAAGCAGAACTAATTTTGTTTTATATTCAAAATGAAACGGATTTGACTGGCCATTAGTGAAAATGTACCATTAATGCAGTCGTAAAGAGGTTACTGGTATGTGATTGCGGACTTGCAGTTGGTATTGCGGTGTTTAAACAAATTTTGGACTTTCTTTTAGTCATTAATTTTTACTCCTATCTTGAGTGAGATTCAGATAGCTTTGCTCCTAGAGTAAGAAGGGATTTACTTTTATTTTCTTCTTCTAAGCGCGTATTTTCGACTTGAAGGTTAGTGGTTAGAGCAGGCTAGAGAGATTTAAGCATAAAGATCTATCCTTCCAACAAATATATATATATACATATATATATATATATATATATATATATATATATATATATTGTCTTATTATTTTCAAAAAGAAAAATCTTTATACTTTATTGAATGGAACTTTGTGGCATCTCCTTTTCCTTTTCTCCTTCTCAATTTCTTTTCGGTAAGTTCGGTGGGGCATGCCCTGGCCTTTGTCTCATTACTTTTTTTCCAACTTCCTAGACTCTTTTTTCCTTTTGAAAGTGGCAGCTTGGAATATCTGTGTAGCTTCTCTATATCATGCATTTTAACCTTAGTCGGTTATATAGAGAAGGAAACTCTTTTTCTTTTTATTTTCATGGGGGTTCTCTATTCACCCTTTTTTAATTTCTAAGCATATATGCTTACTAACATGTAAGTTGCTGCCCCATTAAGAGTCCAGTTTCAACCATTTGGGCAACTTGTGGGGGCATGCTATGGATTAGAACCTTCAATAGAGTAAACGAGTTTCACATTATTATTTTCCCAATGTGGAGAGAAGTTGTTTTCTTGGTGTCTTCATGTATGTTGATACAATATGCACCTTTCAGGCTGAGATGCCTGCAGACAGTGGATATCCTGCTTATTTGGCAGCACGTTTGGCGTCTTTCTATGAGCGTGCTGGTAAAGTTAAGTGTCTTGGTGGACCAGAGAGAACTGGTAGTGTGACGATTGTTGGTGCTGTTTCTCCTCCAGGAGGAGATTTCTCAGATCCTGTTACATCTGCAACCCTCGGTATTGTTCAGGCAAGTAAACGCAATCGTCATTACTGGAAGTTTTGGTTCCTGCTTCTGCCAGCTTCTCTAAAGGAGTATTCTTTTGCAGGTCTTCTGGGGTCTGGATAAGAAATTGGCTCAAAGGAAACACTTTCCATCTGTAAATTGGCTTATTTCCTATTCGAAATACTCTGGGGTATGTTGTTGGTGTTGTTGTTGCTGTTTGTGCTCCTTGGCGACAAACTGCTTCTCATTGACTTGACATTTTTTTTACATCCAGGCACTAGAGTCCTTTTATGAGAAGTTTGATGCTGATTTTATTGACATAAGGACAAAAGCCCGTGAGGTGCTGCAGAGGGAGGATGACCTAAATGAAATTGTTCAAGTATGTGTTTTTTTGCTTTTTCTGGAGCTGTATGTGTTGATGCCACCCGAATTAATATATTTGGGAGAAGGGGATGGGTGGGGTCGATGTAGCTCTACCTTTAGGCTTGTTTTGTTTTAAGGAGCTTTTTCACTTGTATTTGGTACGACTATTGTTGATATGGACACAGAAACATCCATTGGTCAAATAACTATTTGCCAGCCTTTGTGCTCTCTGTCTTCCTTGTTCATATTCCTTGAAGAACAGACTTAAAAGCCATGTTGTGAGGGAGGCAATTCATACTTAGATGGATTGTGTTGGGTGGAAAAAAAATTGGTTACATTGGGTAGAATGACACAGAGCTAGGTGAATTTTGGTCCCTGACATATAGCTATATTAATTCCACTCTACAATCTTCTCCCGCCCAAAAAAAAGACAGAGAAAATAAGTAATCCACGCATAAACCCAAGAACCAACTTACACGTGTAGGAGGGTGTTAGAGAAAGGGATTCAAAGTTAAGAACATTCAACAAAGATGCAGCACTAAACACGGCATTGTAATATTACTCTAGAACTCATTGTTTACCTTCTAGTTCCTTCAATCAATCAATTCCTAGTATATCCCACTGAAATTGATTAGGTATCTGGTTTCCAAGGTTGGTCCACGACTCTTTATCGTATTTATTACTACTGAAATTTATATTCAAGTTATTAAGATATTTGTTTTAGCTCTATAAGAGAATTACTGGCATTCAATTGTGACATATTACTACCTAAAAACTAAGAAACTACACATCCATCCTAAATTGGGTGATCTTGCCATCTGCAGCTTGTCGGAAAGGATGCTTTAGCTGAAACAGATAAGATTACCTTGGAAACTGCAAAGCTTTTAAGGGAGGACTACCTTGCACAAAATGCTTTTACACCGTAAGTTATAGAAATCAACTGTGATACCTTATTCTGGAAGGAATTAGGATTGGCATGGTCTCATTTTTTTGTCTTATGACAGATATGATAAGTTCTGCCCTTTCTACAAATCTGTTTGGATGTTGCGCAACATTATCCACTTCTATAACTTGGCTAACCAGGTAATGATAGTCTTGGCATTCAATGCATCAGGATTTTCCTTCTCTATTTCCTTCAGAGTGCAATTTTTTTATTTTCTGCAGATGCATTTCAATTCTTTATACTGATGACTGTTGTTATTTTATGCTCTTACATCACCTTTTGTCACATTTAGTAAGATTCTATGGTAGCTTTTTGGACAATTGTCATTAGACCAGTAACCAGATAAACTCGAACCTTGGGATTTCCTTGTAACATCTTCTGTTATCATCTTTGCACAGGCTGTTGAACGAGGAGCTGGTATGGATGGACAGAAAATTACTTACACTCTCATTAAGCACCGTCTAGGAGATTTATTCTACCGTTTGGTGTAAGTTACTGCCTAGACATGGACTTTGTTCTACTATATCTATCATCATATTACAGATGCAGTTACGTTCCATGCTGACAGTCCAATACTTGGCCTGTCCTTTCCCTATTTTTCCTGCTTTTTACACTTCCATTTCACACAGGTCCCAAAAGTTCGAGGATCCAGCAGAAGGCGAGGACGTTCTGGTGGGCAAGTTTAAGAAGCTTCATGATGATTTGACTGCTGGTTTCCGCAACCTTGAGGATGAGACTCGATAACTGTAATTTGCTGAAACGTGCAATTTTTGGAGGAATCGATCGAATTCGTGAGCAGAAAATAATTCTGTAGTCTTCTACAATGTAAGAACACATCAAGTGAGTTGTGTGCAGTCTTCCGTAATGCACGTCTGGATCCATGAAATCTGGAGAAATCATGGTGGAAAAATGCGTGTTTGCTCAGTCTTTTATATGGTTGCTGTATCTCTATTTATCCAGTAGCATGGCGAATGACAGGGTCATTTAGGTGTATTTATCTTGAGTTTTGATTTTATCATCAGATTTGAAGAATAAAGTTGTGATTGAGAATTTATACCTAAGCGATATCACTTGGGTACATGTTTGTTCTTTAATTTATTGAACTGATGTGCAATAATTAATAATAAGGTCTTGAGGTGCACCACTCTTGAAATTGCTTGTCTCCATTTGTTCTATGTTTTTTCAGTGTATAGTTTGTTTTCTGAACGTCTCAATTTAGAGTTTTAGACAGTGGAAGGCCTACAGTTACGATAAATCAAGATTATTATGTTTTAATTTGAAATTACAACGTTTATCAAAGCTTAGTATCTAAGGACATCGACTAGTGGTCACATGTAGTAGGTATTTGGCCATAAATTTTGAAAGTTTTTTTTTTTCATAAAAGATTTTCAAATATGTGTTTGTTCATAGAATTAATCTATTTTTTCGGAGATTTTGAAAACCAAAACTTCAAATCCCAAATATAGGGGAGGAATTCCAAAATAGTCAGATTTACAAGTGGTCGTTCAAAAATAGCCCAGTTTCAAAAGCAATCGAAATTTAGCCACTTTTTATGTAAAGATAAATCTGAGCGAAAACACTGTTCAAAACCCGGAAAAATACGTCAGTCTATTATACTGGAGTTCCAGCATAAGTATGCTGGAACTCTAGCATATTATACTGGAGTTCCAGGTTAAGTATGCTCCACTCCAGCATAATATGATGGAGTTCCGGCATAAGTACACTAGAACTCCAGCATAATATACCGGAGTTCCAGCAAAGTATATCGGTCCAGTATAATATGCTGGAAGTTCATACACAAGTGCTCGAATCTCCAGTATATTATGCTGCAACTTTCCGTGTGTTGGAGTTCCAGCATAATATGCTGGAAGTTCATACACAGGTGCACCGAACTCCAGTATATTATGCCGGACCGATCTCTGTTGCAGCAAAATAGTGGCTATTTTTCATTGACGCTGGCTATTTTTGAATGACCAGTCCGAAAACTGGCTAGACCGTGCTATTTTTACCAAATATAGCTTAAGACCTCTTTTTGGGCCAAATCATGACCATTTGAGACTTTTTGGCTGAAAAATTAAAAAAAAAGAGACTTTTAACATGTCAAAACTTGCCTCAAAATTCATATCCAAATACATTTTTAATTTAACATCAAACATCACCCAAATCAACTTTTTCAAAAAATAACAGGTCCGTAGTTTTGACTACGCATTTTAGTGTTGTTACCAGCTAAGTAGCTCTTTAGGATAAATACTTACCCGCACCGGGTGTCTTCACCCCTCCTATAAATAAATGACACATGTCATTTTAGTTAACCACATTTTTTAGTATATATCCATAGTTAACTACCATATATTTTTCACATGATTTTAAATAATAGTATAAATTACGTTCCTTATGTTAACTTGAATCATGACAACTGGCAAGTTACCGAAAACACAGAAACCAACAAGGAAAAACTCAAGTTTTTTAGCTAGACGTTCATTTATTCAAAAATTATTCCTACAGGACAAAACAAAGATGTATTTTATTAAGAGTTATTGGTAAGGATAAAAAAAAAGAAGAGAGGAGGCAGACTACATTTCTTTCCTGGTACTTTCATGTATTTAATGAAAATAACTCCACATTTATTGAAGTTATATTTATAATTTAGTTTTGCTTACTCCTAAGCAAAAAGTAACCTATGCTTACTTGCAAAACTTGTATCCCACAACATCAATTGATTTTTTTTGCATTGTATACGATCGAAATAGATTAATAGCTTTGCCTTTCCTAATCCATACGATCGAAATCGGGCTCATCTATTGCATGACAGATCGGGATTGAAACGTAATGGATTGAAGATCGACCCCGGGTTCCATCGAACCAGGGTTCGAGGTTAGAATGCCCGTCTTCAAGAACATCAAGTCCGTGACCCCGGAATCGACCCCGACTCCGTATGAGCTCGAGGAAACATTGTTGGACTAAATAACGGAAGGCCGAAATATCCGTAACCGGTCGGGTATCACGGCGGGAATCTCGGCACGTATCAATGAGAAACCGGTTAATTAGCAAATCATGAGATTTTTTACCTTTTATAGAATTGTACCTAAAGTAGGATTCCCCTACTATATAAAAGGGATCTGATTATTTGTAAAGCACATTGTAACATCCACTCAGAAGCAATATACTGTTATTTTCTCTTTAAATTTCATTCCAACTGTGTCCTCATACTGGTCGGAGTGCATTCTGCTAAAGGGTGGCTTTCCCCCCAAGGCTGTTATTATTCAATTCGTGTGGTTTGAATTTACTTTATCATACTTTATTTCTGATTATAATTTAACTTATCGCTTTGTGTCAAATTATTTCCCGTATCCTTAAAACCACTTACAAATTCAATTGTTATCCGATTCTTGAGTAAACAGTTTGGTGCCCACCGTGGGACTAAGGGTAATAGTTGTTATTTGATACAATTTTTCATAACGCACACTATTTTACATTTGTTCTTTGGAGTGTCTCTGATTTCAGGATAAAAATGTCGAACTCCCAATAAGCACCCCTACATGTTGACAATGAGTTCGGCCACCATGGCAAAAACGACAACTTAGCACCCGAGAACGACGTGCCCCTGGTCGATCTCGACGGAGTCCAGGGTGTAGATCCCATCGACGTTAGCTTGCATGTGGCCATCAACGCAAATCTGCCCACCGATCCTGAGGACAACATCCGTAGAGATGTCCGGTCGGCCACACAAAGCACAGACGGTGGCGAAGATGGTGGAATCAACTTGCGGGTGATCTTCAAAATATTACAGGCTCAACAGGCGGCAATAGCCCAACTCCAGAACCAGAGCCGCCCGCAGAGTAGGATTGAGCCCGAGCCACCCCGGGAAGCTGTTCACTAAGTTGAGTTGGCCTTAGGAGATCGAACGAGAAAGAGTCGGGGACTAACCCGGTAATCATGAAGATGCTCGAGGAACTGACTAAACGGATATAGTCGGTAGAGAAGAAGATCGAGGCAAATGGTAAGAAGGTGGAAACCTACAATTCCAGGGCCGATCAAATCCCTGGAGCGCTGCCGATATTGAAAGACATGGACTCCAAGAAGTTCGTACAGAAACCTTTTCCTCCGAGTGCGGCTCCCAAGCCGATCCCTAAGAAGTTCCGCATGCCCGAGATTCCTAAGTACAACGGAACGATCGACCCGGACGAGCATGTTACCTCCTACACATGTGCCATCAAAGGGAATGACTTGGAGGATGATGAGATCGAATCTGTCTTGCTGAAGAAGTTCAGAGAGACCCTGTCGAAGGGAGCTATGATATGGTATCACAATATACCACCTAATTCTATTGACTTATTTGTTATGCTTGCAGACTCTTTCGTGAAGGCGCACGCCGGGGCTATCAAGGTCGAGACCAGGAAGTCGGACCTTTTCAAAGTAAGGCAGAAGGATAATGAAATGCTCAAAGAGTTCGTGTCCCGGTTTCAAATGGAACAAATGGACCTACCACCGGTCGCTGATGATTGGACCGTTCAAGCTTTCACCCAAGGACTCAATGTTCGAAGCTCAGTGGCTTCGCAACAATTAAAGTAGAATCTGATAGAGTACCCGGATGTTACTTGGGCCGATGTTCATAACCGGTATCAATCAAAGATCAGAGTCAAAGATGATCTACTTGGGGCTCCTTCCGAGTCCGTTTATACTGTCAGACCCGTCGACAGGATCAAGAGAGATATCGACCGTGAACCGAGGTCAAAAAAAGATCAGTATCAGCTATATAATAGAGATCGAAGAAGCAGTGGGTCCGAGCAAAGTTCTATGCGAAATGAAAGGAGAAATGATCGAGGTCAGAGCACTCGGGGACTCATGAGCAAGAATGACTTCGACAGGCCTATCGGGCCTAAAGAAGCACCAAGGTTATCGGAATATGACTTTAATGTTGATGCGGCTGCCATCGTATCAGCTATCGGACGCATCAAAGATACCAAATGGCGTTGACATTTACAATCCGATCCAGCCCAAAGAGATCCTAACCAGGTTTGAAAGTATCATGGCACTCACGGCCACAGAACAGAGGTTTGCCGACAGTTGAGAGAGGAAGTAGCCCGGTTGTTCAACAACGGGCACCTTCGGGAATTTTTGAGCGACCGAGCCAAGAACCATTTCAGAAACAGGGATTATGACAAACAAACCAAATAAGAAGAACCTCAACACGTCATTAACATGATCGTCGGCGGAGTCGATGTCCCTCAAGGGTCGATGCTGTAGTGTACTAAAGTGTCTATCACAAGGGAGAAATGGATTCGAGATTACATACTAAAGGGAACCTTGTCTTTCAATAACGAGGACGCAGAAGGGATTGTGTAGCCTCACAATGATGCACTGGTAATATCTGTACTCATAAATAAATCTCGAGTTAAGCGTATGTTAATTGATCCAGGTAGCTCGGCCAATATCATCCGGTCGAGAGTCGTAGAGCAGCTCGGTCTACAAGATCAAATTGTGCCAGCAATCCAAATTTTGAACGGATTCAACATGGCATGTGAAACCACTAAGAGAGAGATAACATTGCCAGTCAATGTCGTTGGGACCATCCAGGAGGCCAAGCTTTATGTGATCGAAGGAGACATAAGGTACAACGCCCTGTTGGGGAGGCCATAGATCCACAACATGAGGGCATTGCCCTCGACTCTTCACCAAGTGTTAAAATTCCCAACGCCAGGAGGGATTAAGACAATCTACGGAGAACAACCGATCGCAAAAGAGATGTTTGCAGTCAAAGAAATGATTTTGATATCAGCACTCACAGCGTCAAAGAAACCAAGTTTGGGTACAAAGCAAGAAGCCAAATAGCAATCACCGGTACCGATCACGGCCCAATCGGGTAGGCAGGGGACTTATGAAGGCGATGATCACGGGGTTCCCCGATCTTTTATAGTCCCTGACGACTCCGACGCTACTAAACCAACGGTCGAAGAGCTGGAACATGTCATATTGATCGAGCATCTAGGGGTGTGCATTCGAATCGGTTTATCGATAAATCGAATCGATTATTTGTTATCGAAGTCGAAATCGAAAAAATCGAAACCTTATTGAAACGATAACGATAAGCATATGTACAAATCGATAATCGATAAGTAATTATCGATAAGGGTCAAAATCGAATCGATAAATCGAATTCAC